AGGCCTACCAGTCCTACCCACTGGACAAGACTGCTTTGCTCTGCAAGTAACCTCAACAAACATAGGCTGCCACTTTACTTATTTTTACAGGATTTTCATTATATTTCCAAAATATTTATTTCCTAAGTATCATTTGGATTTGTGATATCTCTATATCTCTTCTATAGAATATTATGATCAATACTCTCTAGAAAAGTTTCAGTAATCTTTCTTTTCACAGTAAATCCCTGATTTTTGAGGTGTAAATGTGCGTTACAAGGAATTGGTTTTTTGTCTGTTGTATATTGTTTTTATATGCTTTACGTTGTACGTTTTATTGGGCAGATCTACTATTGTATTATTTTGTCTTGTGGATGACAACATTTTCTAAAAATAATACAATCAGGATCAACATGAAGTGTTTGTAATAACACGTTGAATTGGATATACTGAAAAATTGTATGTTGAAGATTGTTGTGATGACCTATAAGTATCAATATATTTATTGTTTCGTGTTGATAATACATTTTTGAGTACAAATATATATATATAAATAAATAATATTAATATAATATTGCACAAAGATTAAAATAGGCATTTGAATATTGTATGTTTACAGTATTGCAGAACATTTGGTATGGTGCTGAATCGGTTTATAATGTGAGTAATAAAATTATGGCTACTCATTGGAAAGCATATATTACCATATTAAAGAAGTATTCTACCGAGTTAAAAGATTATATCATTAATGATGAACCAATTGATTTTCTATGCTCAGAAATTAAGAAAACAATTTCATCTTTTCACTACAATGATGAAGCCTCATTGAAATTATCAACATATATGATGAGTGTTTTAGTTAAGCTTTGCTCATATGGACGTGTTTCAAAATCACATAACATATTATTAGAGTTTATTTTATTCTTAAATAGGTATGCATGTGTAATGATATCATGATGTGTTGTCTATGTCTTAGAACTATGAAACATACCAAATTTTAAGCTCAGCAGATCACGTTTAGCTCTGTCAGTTTAAAAATTAGAATGGATTGACCCCTTATAAACATTTTTATAGGTAAGATTATTATCTAGGGCATCTCCTAGAATTTTTATTATATTTTAATTTTGAAGCGAGTAATGAGTATTTTAAGACGTACACACCTTAAATTGTCATAAGCAGTCAATTCATTCTAATTTTTAAACTAACTGAGCTAATAGTGATCTGCTGAGCATACAATTTGCTATGTTACACACTTGTAAGGCAGATAAACGTGCTCTTAATGCATACTGATTTTTTCATTTGTCATTTTAGCTACTGGTTATCTGATACACAAGATGCTGTTGCCGTCAAAGATAGATTATCACAATTTGTTGATCAGTTAGTGTTATTATCTGATGATGCATTTATGGAGGTAATTAAAAATAATTTTCATATATTTATAGTTAACAAAAAAATAGTTAATAAGGCAATAGACCTAAATAAAAAAATAAACTTTAACCTTATAAATAATTACAAGTTCTAATTTTGTAATATTTTAGACATTTCAGTCAAGCTGTCAAGAAATAATTAATAACAACTCTTCAAGTCGGAAGATGTCTGCCATGTACATTGCAATGTTGCTAATAAAGCGTTTGACAAAAAACTCTTGTGATCAAGAAGCTTATCAGATTATTTGCATTGTGTTTAATTTGATTAGACTTACAGATTCTACAATATGTTGTTATAATGTAGATATCTACGAAGATCTACTGATTAATTTAGCATCAGTAATACTAGTGTCTGATTACAGTTTGTTTGAAAATGTTGAAAAAATTTTAATTCAAAATATTCTTAATATTGAATATTGGCCAGCCATGTTTAGTACTGATTTATGGATAATTATTATGAGGTTTGATTTAATTTTGTTTCTTTTTAAAATATACATACAAATAAATTCCAATTTTGTTTTAGGTATTTGTCACCAGATTTATGCAACTTACAATTTTCAAAATTAGCCAGACTTTTTGAAGCATTAATTGTTTTTCCGAGTTTTACTCAATGTCCACAGCATATTTATCTTGAAATGTTGTTGAAAAGACATTTCTCTTTAATAACAAATAAAAATAAATTAATAAGCTGTTGTCCTCAGCTAAAATTACAAAGTCTGAAATCTGCTATAGGAATACTTCATATTCCAACACTTTCAAAATACAACAAATTATCAGAAATGGTACTAAAAACTTTTTCCTGGTTTGCTATTTCAAAATTGAAGTTGTTTCATTTATCAATTTTTATTAAAATGTACTGTTATTGTCTATGTTTATTTTGTGTAGCATGTTCGTGGAATTAAATATTATAATATTAAATATTATATTATAATATGCTGTTTTTTTTATGTATAGACAAAGATCATAAGTGTATTACCAGAGCAAACAAATTATGAACACTTAAATGAGGATTTAATACATTTATGGAGTTGTATTAAAGATGAATACCCACCAGAATTTATATGTGCATTAGTTGAAGCCAGTATTGGTTCCGAAAAATTATTAAAAACAATTATTCCAAAGGTATTACTATATTAAATTAAATGATGATAAAAAAGAATACATTAAATGAAAAAAATATTTCTATTATACCTATAGTAATATTGTGTTTACTTATTATTGTTGATTGTTAGACTACTAAAATATTGAGTAGCTGTGCTTATGATGACACTACAGAAATGAAGCGATGTAGACTACGGTTGATTCGATCAATATTATTGCACATGCCAAAGTTTCAAGAAAAACTGTTAATGGATATTTTTCTTCAATATTTGTTTGATCATCATCCATTAGTAAAACAATGGACCATTGAAACAATAGTGTACTTTTCCAGTGTTACTGAAAGTCAAAATAGCTTAATTTCTGTGCTCTTTAAACAACCTAAAGTTAGAATTATTATAAAAGATTATTTGGAAATGAAAATTAATCATACTTATAATCATAATGATTTAATACAATATTTTGAACAATTGTCCCTTTGTGGAAAATTTCAACACATGTGTTCATTTAATGGTAAATTAGGTAGAGTATTGGATACATTAAAAACAGATATTGACTGTTTGAATGATATTGTAAGTAAAACTCAAATATCGCCAGATGAGTTGGAAAGATTAAAAGAATATTCATATCTTTTAAATAATATTTGTGATTCAATGAAATAGAATAATGAAGATTTTTAATGTTTTAAGCTGAACAGTATCTTAATTAATAGAATGCTATTTTTAATTTCTAATACATTTTACATATAATAATCATGTTTTTCTAAATGTAAGATTTTGTAAGAACAAAAAATCAATTAAAAATATATCCATTGAAATAAAATACATGACATTTGTGTCAATTAACATTTTATAAAAAAAACTATAAATTATTATTTTACCTATGATTCCTATCCAATATCAAATTAAACTGAAGTTTTAATTGAATATGAGCACATCAAAAACAATTTAAAATGTATTCTATGGATTCTGTACTATATTGATCATAAGCTAAACAATTAAGGTCAACAGTACATAATGTGATTGATAAATGAAGGTAAGAATGTATTGAATGTATTTTGGTATATAAATAAAATAATACATTTTATAAACATAAAATATCAAAAATATAATAAAATATTAATTTAAGTTGATCAATTGACATTTGATTTCAATAAAACTATAGTTCGTACTTATGTAAAAATTTTCTTGATTTTAAATATCTGAAATTTTATTACAAATAATACTTATTGTGAAATAATTTGTCCAAAAAATAATATCAGTAAAATGTACATGTAGTTTTTTTTTTATTTACAATAATTATATGTTTAAAGTGTGTATAACAAAATTTAAATCGTAAATGTTCTTAATAATTTTTAATTTAATATTAAAATACCATATAAATATTTTTTATTATGTTAAAAATTAATCATGGCTTGTTATTTTCTGGTTATTGATAGATTAAGACTCAAATATTATAGATTCCTTTGTTAATATATTTTTTTTTTATCTATGAGTTATGACTAACCAAGTAATTAATTTATTTAGAAAATCTGTATTATCTTTGTAATTTGTATTAATTTTAAAGATACGTTTAAAAAAATATAGAGGTTACAAGATAATAGATTCATCAATATTTAAACGGTCAATACGCACTTACACAAATACCTGTGTTCAATAATACTATGGATTTTTTAAATCATCAAATGTCAACTGATAAAATATACGATTGTAGGCTACTTTTTAGCAGCCTATCCCTGCTGTAGATAAAATAATACTAAGAATTTAAAATCATTAGTTTAGTTAAACTATAATCTCTATTTCAACTTATTTGCCTTTCAAAATAGTATATTGTTGTTAATGATGTTCACAGAGTTATGAATATACATATAATAATTCTGTAGTATTTTTGACTACACTAGTACTTAATACTACCGCCCAGGAGAGAACGATAGTTAAAAACCATGAATTACGGCAAGAGTATACTTTACTATAACATTGTTAATGTAGTAATGTTTATTATTGCTATTAAAAAACACTGACATTGCATAATAATTAATAGTGATCCCGAAATATATACTTAAAGAAATGTAATCCCACTTAACTATAAAAATTATCGGTCTTATTTAGTCACCCACCTAACCAAATTCCCGAACACCCAGATAAATCTTCAACTTAGAAACTTTCTCGAGCTCATCCGGTTTTAGAGATGATTTTGTTCCAAAAATCAGAACCCTAATTCAATCTTCAATACTTGTGTTGAGTGTCATATTATAAATTTATAATAATATGGTCGAAGAGAAATATTCTGGTCTTCTTGATTATAACAATAAGTACACCAGACGTCTCTGTGATAGGATGATAACAGTGTTCTCGACGAGTATTCTTATCACGTCTTTTAGTTTGATAAATGTTATCATAATCACATAAACAATATCACTGAATCACTTCTAAACAACAAAAAAAAAAGTACCAATTTGATAATTTATTTAGTACATAATGACAAAACAGTTTTTAATGTATAAAACTAGATTATTTTTTTATTATATTGTATTAAATTAAAATTTTAATTTTGTTAATTAGTGTAAGTTTATTATTATTGTTATAATTTTGTGAGGTGACTGTAGTCTGCTGTTGAAACTTCAGAGTCAAGCGCTTAACATTTCTAACTGTAAAATGCAAGAAGAAGAAAACTTATGGTGAGTGATTAATACCATTCTGTTGCATAAGTATGTACTATGATTATACTGAGCTTAAGATGTCAACAGTAAAACACTAATGCTTGGTTATAAAAACGTCTGTTTGAGTTTGAAAATCATCAAATATTTTAAACATAAATATTGTAATTTGTAAAATATTAATCCGTAATTATTCCATTAAATCTTAATGAATGATTAATCTTTATTATCTGTTATACATCCTCACATTGACATACTATTCTACGTTTTGTTATAGGAATTCCATGTTGATCTCCTTAAAAGAAAAAGGCGGGACTAGGTTACCTACAGACAAGTCTATGATTATAATAGGTAAATTATAATACAACTATACATTTTTTTGCTATAGTGCCTATACGTATGTTAACATTTATATTTGCAGGTGATAACCAATGTGGTAAAACTACTCTTGTAGCAAAGTTGCAGGGTATTGACGATCTGACAAAGGGAATTGGACTGGAATATGCGTACATTGATATTCGTGATGATTATAAAGAAGGTTAGTTAGTTATCAGGTGTTCATATATGTTTTGAGTTAACTAAATATTTAGAAATACATTCACTTAATTATATATTGGAAATGAATGATTATGAACCCAACATAAAATCATGTTTATTTCTAGATCATACGAAATTGAATGTATGGGTACAAGATGGCAACCCTAAATACTCGTTTCTATTAAAATTTGCTTTGTCTGAGAAGAACTTTAAGAACACGTTAATTATGTTTGTTGTTTCTATGAAAACACCTTGGAATATAATGGATCAACTAGAAAGTTGGGCGACATTACTGCAAGACTATATTGACAATTTACCAATTCCAAGTGAAGATCTTCGAGAATATAGACAAAATTGTAAGTGACTACTCTAGAATTTAGCTTAAAAAAAAAAAAAGTTATTTAACTATTGAAGGCAACTTAATTATTACCTTAAACAATTACAGTTAAATTACATTTAATATAAATTAAATTTTAGGTGTATAATATATGCTAACAGACATAATATTGTTGCTCATTTAATTATCAATGTTTTATTTGATTATACTAAATTTAATACCTATATTAATTATAATTATTCGATATTCATTATTAATAAAACGTACCTTTTATTTATTTTTTTTTTGAAGTCAAGTATGACAAGCTAAACCAATGTATAACATACCTAATAATAATTTTAATGTAATTTTAATACTCTGTAAGATAAACTAGTAAATGTAATCATAATATGTAGAAAAGTTAAATGATTTATATTTTTTTTTTTCAATATATGTCGTCTGCTACAATTGCCTTTGGGGTAAATAATATTATTTAACACATTTTAATTTATAAATATTAAATTCAGTAGTTTTTGGATTTAACACTTTTAATACAAATTTTGAAGTAAGTATTAAGTTTTTGAGCAACCTAATTAAAGGAGATGGGTTGGGAGTCAGAACTAACGTGTTATACCTTCAAAAGCTATGTTAACCATCTCTTATATTATTTTATTAATATGATAGATTATTTTTTTCATAACATTTTAGATGAATTTTCATGTAATTATCAGCTGTTTTTTTTTAATACTATTTTTTTATCTGACTAAACTTTTTGTTTCTTATTTATAGGCATTAAAAAATGGAACGAATACATCGAAGAAAATGTTGGTGATAAAAATGGATATTGGGAACCATCTCTTGGAGATGGGGTACTTACAAGAAATTTAGGTTTAAATATAATTGTTGTTGTAACAATGGTATGTATTATTGATAGTATTTTTATAAAGAAGACGTCTTATCCTATGTGCTATGTCTGTCTTACTGAGGTAAAACATGGCAAATTGTACGCTCAAAAGAATCCATTTTACTCTGTTATTTATAATTTTGTAAATTGCAAAATATTCATAACTTGTTTCAAACATCTTGTGTGTAGCCCTGAATAATATTTGAACTTTTAAATTTAATTAAAGGTGATATAATTCTAATAAAGAAAAATAACAGAGGGAAATGGGTTCTTCTGATTGTACCATGCATTAAAATTATTATAGGTATTGGTAAGACGGAGTCAGTGCATGCTGGTATGCTGTCTTCTTAATTATAATTTTATAATTTATGTTAATTATTGTTTCATATATTATTGTAGACTGATTACATAAGTTTTTTGGAAAAAGAAAATGACTACAAAGATGAACATTTTGATTTCATACAACAAGCAGTACGCAAATTTTGTCTACAGTATGGTGCGTCACTATTTTATACATCAGCCAAAGAAGACAAAAACTGTGATTTATTATATAAATTCCTTACACATAAGATTTATAACTTTCCATTTAAAACACCAGCATTGATTGTCGAAAAAGACGCAGTTTTCATGTAGGTTTATTTTTATTATAAATATTTGGATTTTAAGCGATTATTAAATTATAACTTTATAATGAATAACAGTTAATATGAATACATATATTGCATGTTGATTTTTATAAACTTATTAAATATGCAGTACTTGGTTTTATGTTTCAGACCAGCAGGATGGGATAGTATGAAGAAAATTAGTATTCTCTACGATAACATGCAGACCATTAAACCTGATGAATTTTATAACTCTGTTATAACAAAAGTGAATACGAGAAAGGTTTGTATTGTGTGGTAATCCCACTAAAAATATTGTATTTTATAATATCCATCTGTTTTTCTTAGGCTTTTGCTAAAGACCACGAAATCCAAGCAGAAGATGAACAAGTATTTTTGAACAAACAATTAGGTTTACTAAACCAGAGTGCAAGCCAACAGTCAGCTATTGGTATACCAAGGCAAGACTCTGTAATGAGATCATTGACAGGTGTTTCTAAGTCAGGTGATAGACGTCTATCGTTAACCAGTCAAGGGCAAGGTTCTCCAACAAAAAAGGTCAGATAGCTCCCTATAAAACTCTTGACATTTTCAGTGGCTTAATTTTATATCTCCACACTATATTTTTGTTAGATTGATCCAGTAAAATCCAGTAACACATCAACCCCAGGTGAAGGAGTGTTGGCTAACTTTTTCAATTCCTTATTGCATAAAAAGTCAAATCAAAGCCCTGTTTTGACCAAAACTACAGGTAATTACACATTTTTATTGCTGAACGTATTGTCCATCATCATCATACCATAACAATTCAAGTTATTTTAATTATATTTTCAAGGTGAGTTGTCTGGTTCAAAATCTTTATCCATGGAAAAATCTGAATACCATACAGACACAGCAGCTGAACTTGACAGATTGGCTAAACGAACATTAAACTTATCACATGAATCATCTACTGAAACTAACTCGTCTGAAAATGGAATTGAAGAACAAATCTCTACTACTTTTGGTGAAAAATCATCGTCAGAATGTTAATTCAGGGTCGATAAATTATTTTTCCTATTTTTGTGATAATCTAATAATCATTAATATTTTGTGCAATTTTATTTATTTATTTTTTAGCTTAGAGTGAACATACAAAATATTTATTTATTTATTTATTTTTATATTAAACCTTTAACTATTATTTTATCATTTTAACTTTAATCATACTTTTGCACGGTATACATTTGCAAGGCAAGTTAAAAAAATAAAGTTAAGTTACTTAACAAGTTACTTTTTTTAAGTCACTTAAAAAGTTAAAAACTTTTATTAGTTTAAAAATAAAAAAGGTAACTTTTAACTTTAAATTTAACATATATTTTTCTATATTAACTGAACTTAACGAGTCATAAAAAAAAAAAAAAACTTGCCTAGTCGTGAGCATTTGTATATCAAAAGAGTCTATAATTCTTTTATAACTTAAGCCAAACTTAGATAAATGAGTTGTTATCATACACAGCATCCCTAGGATATGAAATGGTAAGGTGCAATATTAAAACTGAATTTTTATTTTTATTCTTCCATTTATTTATAAATCTCAAAATTCTTAAAATTATTATACCTTTATTTTATATTTAGTTTGTTTAAAATTGAAGTATATGGTTTATTCATATAATAAAACTAAAAATCATTGAAATATTTAAAGCAAATAGTATCTTCTTCAATGTGTTGACGGTTATGTGGTAATAATTTTTAAGCAAACAATTCAATTAAAAATAGTTACACAAAAATAAATTGCCCTATCACAACATTTTCTAAGTTGGATTTTGTGTATTTTGTATAATCTATCCTCAATGTAATATGTGCATGTACTGTAAGTTAATCATAATATTTGAAATATATAACGCATGCTCCTTGACTAAAGCTTTCAATTTTAACTAGCAACTTTATGTTTGTATACTTTTATAGTTTTATACAATTTTTATTTTTTTTCATTTTTTAGTATTATATTATATTTTTGTTATCGTGGTTAACATGCACTTTAAATTTGTATATGAAATTATTGTAATACTTTTTGTACACATTTAATAGACTATTTTAAAATGATCGAACTAAAACAAAATAATTTATGAAAATCTGATGCTACTTAAAAACACATGTGGATTTATCAATAGAGTAAATCATTTGTAATAAGAAAATAAACTACTAACCAAATTGCTATTTTATAATATTATTGAATATAGCAATTTATTGAACAATTATTCTCTTTGATTAGTTATATAAGTATTTAATTCAATTCTTTAAGCTTTGATTGGATGTTGTACTAGTGTGTATTATCTTTGTCTTTCTCTTACACACATTTGTAGACCTTATAGACAAAGTATGGAGATAGTTCCTGTGGTCAACGTGAGTAGTGCTGATCATATTGTTCCACACTTCTGTCCATGTGCATAGACCATGTCAGTTTGCATATAGTTAAAAACAGAAAAATCATAATTATTTAATTATTGTATTATACTATGACTCATTAATATTTCTTACAAGTTTCTAATGGACTAAATTAACTATGTATGAACTTGTATTAAGTTTTACTAGTAACTTTTTTGATTTTGGTTTAAATGTTTTTGTTATATTGACTTATTATAATAATACATCACTGTTTCACATTTTGCCGTGACCGCACCACCCAACCCTACCAGCCTAGCATACTTCAGATATGAGTATAATGTCTATGCACACATTAATTATCATACTTGATATACATACAGGATTCTTACTACAGTTTATTTATAGTTAAAATTAGAGTTCATTTTTCATTTAATATAATTTGTGCAGGAGAAAATTACTGTGATTGAGCCAAGATAATAATAAGTTATAAATACTTAATTAATTTTATTAATTTAAAAAAAGATAAAATTAAAAAAACGCTTAGCTTGAGTACAGTTTTTATTCTCTTCTACACATTTAATTAAATTAGATCTAACATTAGCTATTACTAAACTTGTATATTGATTTATTGTGGAAGCGTAAATTATATTTTATACAGTGATGTAATTTAAAAAACATATATTTTAATTATGGTAATCAGTATCTACTACAAAATTCAAATCATGTAAAAATCCTAGAGTTACAATTTATTTTACTTCCAGAATTTGGAATTAAATAGGTAGTAAATCAATTCATTAAATATATATATATATATTTCAAATAATCCAACATCTGTTCATCTAATCTGCTTATCCAAATTTGGTTCACAAAATGATTTATTGATTCAAAGTATTACCAACAGACTACATATTACACTGTAAGTATTCGTTAGTGATGTAAGTGAATTTATTCCAATAATTTTTTTTTTATTATTATAAATGCAAGGGTCATTGGATGCGATTGGTATGTTGCATAAAGGCTTTTAGTACATAATAATATACGTAGGTAGGTGTATAAGATAAATAAATAAATTTTTAGAAAAAGTACAATGAAAAACTTAAAAATTTAATAAAATGTAAAAAATATCCCAGTAATGAATCAATTTGATCATAATATTATGGCGATCATGTTATAACTTGTAGGATGGCTTGATGATATTTATTGTGTGTTTTGTAGTTTTTACAAATTTATTTTTTAATAATAATAATAATTAATTGTAAGTTAACAAATGTTACAAACTTAAACAAAGTCGTTTATCGTTGTGTAACAACTCGTTAAATAATTTTTATTTCCTCTATTGAATGCAATTCATAAATGTATTCTTTCACTATTTGGTATGTACTTAAATAAACTTATTTAATATAATAATATAATATTGCCTATGAATAAATACTTACATTTTTCAATCGTTAAATAAAATAATTGAACATGAAGTAAATTTATTATTTTAATTCCAAACAAACAGGAAACATGGACACTTAGTAAATGTAATAGATTATTTAATTTATAGCTTAACATTCACTGTCATATATCTGACGTGCTGTAGCCTAATAATTTAAGTGGAAATTAATTTAGTCACTATTAACACCCAACTAGTGGCTAGTGGTATAAGAAACAATAGTGCTATTCTGGAGTTCCAAAAATGATCTACATTCGACTAGTCTCTACAACTATTTCATGTAATTTAGTCATATTTTACAATTGGCAATCAATTTCCGAAAACTAAAGTACAAAGGTGCATAACTTATACACAGTATTTTGTGTTTAAAATTCTAAGTGGAGCAATAAATTAATGGAATGATTTTACAATTATGTGTTTTTTTTTCGTGTGTGTCTATCATCACCATTTGGGACAATACAAATGTTTTGATTTTTGTCATAACAGAATCTCTCTGGCTGGAAAGTAAGAAAAACTGCTATTTTTACTCAAAATCAGTTTTTGAAAAAAAAGATTTTGTTTTGTAGTGCAACTCTAAAACAAAATCGTAGATACTTAAAAAGGTTTAATACATTTTATTAAATAATAAATTAATTTTTAACTAGCATTTTAAGTTAGACATTGGATATTCCGATAACCATTAAATTAACAAATTCTCATACAACAATTTTCTTATTTCGTTGTTATTCGAAAACTATTAACAGTAGTACAGTATACTTGAAATTATTTAAAGTTCAAATTTTGACAACATTTAACAAAATCTCTAAATTGTTCAAAATATTTTGTAGTTAAAAATTTATAAAATGTTCAACTTTTATAGGTAAGGATTGAAAATAAAAAACAAGAATACTCATAAATAGTTTATTTATAATATTGTAACCAAAAAATCTAAAAAATAAATGCCTAATCACAGTTTTTTTTTACTGACATTTAAAGTTCTAATTTCGACGAAATGATTACATTATCCACTGATAATGTAACTATGTAAGAGTTATATTATTCATAATATTAATTCAACTCACCGGCTGCCGTATTAATAATAAGTAATAAACTAATAACAATATAAAATATCCTAGACTGACATACCGTTTCCGCTCAGAATCGTTTTTTGTATACAGTGATATATTATATCATTGAATTCAAATTTAATACCATTCAGCGACCTTCTACTTTCTAGACACCTAATGGTTGATGTACAACAGAGCGACTTCCACTTGACCGCTTTCTTTTTTTGTAAATTGATGTAGATAAAAAAATATCTGCTCCATCAAAAAACTTGAAAATGTATTACAAGGTTCCCCGTAAGTGGTTGTTAGTGGTAATTAAAAAAAAAATTGAGAGTAAATGGATACTAATTTTTTTTTGAGCAAAATACGTAAAAATTACCATAATTTTAAATTTATTTTGAGTCAGAAATTCATAAAAATTGTTCTTTTTAAATCTAAGATTTGAAAATTTAATACAAGATTCCTCATAAGATTGTATACTTTTATCAAACACAAAAAATGTCTACTGGGAATTTAAATTAAATTTTATGCACGTTTGAAGTTTAAATTTGAATAACATTGGAAATCAACTCGAGAAATTCATGTGTTATTTTTCGTTACTTAAAAACGAATACTATAACACTGTAGAGTGTAGATGCGTTTTTCAATTAGCACTAAATATTTATTTTATCATTTCCTATAGTTGATTTTGAATGGTTTTGAGCTGTTTACTGACATTTTCAGTTAACAATGTTTTTTAGTTTTTTTTTCTGGAAATGTCAATACAGTTTTATTCGTTAGGTTAGAAAGCTTTAAAATTTAATATCTATTATTTGGTTCGGTAACAACGTTTATCAAATTGAAAATGTACAAAATATTTTGTAGTTAAAAATTTATAAAATGTTCAACTTTTAAAGGTAAGGATTGAAAATTAAAAACAAGGTTGCATACAAGTAGTTAATTCGCTGTATGTAACTAAAATATTTAAAAAAATACATAAACACAGTTTTTTTAGTTATAAAATAACGATTTTAGTGGTTCTATTGTAATTTAAAAATGTTATCCATGGGTACTTGAATCTTCTAAAGTAGGTATATTTAATATTATTATAATTTATATACACAATGACATTTTCAAATGCAATTTTTTCGACAACAATTATTTTAATCTACTATAGGATACTAATGCCTATTATATCGTTAAATAATTTACTTTTAGCAATAATATCATAAAATATACCCATTTAAAAATATTTTAGGATGACTCGGTCCGTCCATTAATTACTCTTCGCTTAGAATAATTATTTTTCGTACTCAATGATTTCATGTCATTGAATTCAAATTTAACACAACCATTACAGCGACTCATTAGTCCCTTGATACCTAACGTACAGCAGAACGTTATCCAATTTTTTAAAATTTGTATACCATTAACTTTGTTTTAATTACCTATACAAAATGCATAGGTATCAAATAAGTTTTTAAAAATAAAAACAAATATTTATGAATAATATTAATACCTATTGACTAACCGGCCGAAGGCGTTCGGGAAAAGATAACATTATTTAACTTGCATTGATGCAATTTGGTTGATTCACTACCGTGCGCTCAGATATACTTAAAATAATAATCATTATTATTTATTTACTTTTCTAAATTTATATGACAAGAAATGGACAGTTTTTAATTGGCATATTTTTTTTTAGTATTCGAACGTTGAGTAGTAGGTAACAGAACAAATACGATAGTGTATATTTGGATATAGGTAAGTACTTGTTTTTGCTCAAAATTTACTTTTTTCGTAAATAAATTGTTATATGATATGGGTATTAAAATGTTATTTAAGCTGCAAAAAGGTGTTTTAAGCAGGAGCGTATATCAAGCAAGTTTACTGTAGTAGGTACCTATATTCTATAGCATCAATAACGTTTTCTTAATTGATTTAAAATAGGTAAATCAAATATTCCAATTAATAACCATCCAATAACGAATTATTTACAGCTAAGAGCCGCTTTTAAATAATATTCTGCGACTCTGCGTTATAGCTTATCAATATAGGTAGATACCTATATATTTCTAATAAATACGAATCTACCTAATTATATATTTAAATTAATATAGAAAATACATAGGATTAAATTATATTTTATGAAAGTGTTCAATTTTCCAATTCTTCAAAATAATACAAATTTGCAAAATATTTTGTAATTATAGATTAAAAAAGTTATCGTAGTACCTATTACCTATTAATCCTTCTATAAAATGTAGGTAATTTATATTTATCATATTAATACTCTTGCTGTATGTACAAACAATAAATGAATAAAAAAATAAGTAATGTTCCGATTCCAACGAAGTATAAGAAATTTAAATCTACGACGATTATTCTACATTTGATATGTTGGCTAGCAAACATTTTTCAAACAGTTTAAAATAGTGTTTATAACATAATATATAGGAGTGAACGACCAACACAATATTTATTTAACATAATATTAAACATTTCAATTTCTGAAGTTCAGTTTTTTCTTATACTTTGCTACGATTTAAATAAAATCATCTTGAATAATTCAGAACCGTCACTCAGGCACACATTAATTGGAACGTCATGTTGCAATTAAAGCAAGCATTTCATATCTATAACAGTAGGTTCCACCAATAAAATAATCTAAAAATACATGATATTAATGTTTGGGATTTATTACATTTTTTTATTTTTATTTTGTAAGCAGAAACACTAGAAGGAAGATATTCGGCGGAGATTGGTAATGAAAAATCGAAAAAAAAATTGTTCCGCCCTGAGTCAATGGTGAAATACAGTAACGTAACTATCAATGACTACACAGCGCCATTATTTGCCAGCAAAAATGCTGCGACTTCACATTTAAATAGTTGTACTGGACGCAGTAAAAATCCATCAGAACAGAAAGTTTCGAAAGAACAGAAAACTCTGACTGTCCCGACAGTTATCACAAAACCCTCGGAAGCTCCAAAAGTACCGAAAGATCCGATGACTCCGAAAGCCAGACCAATGTAAAATACTTACACTGCTATAATTTGAATGGTTTTTGCTCATTTAAAAGTTGTAATGTGTTGTTTTTTTTATATTTTGTGTATAGTGTTAGCCCGGAGCCTTATATTTGCATGTGTTGCAATTTGGCGTTTAGACGGAAAGTGACTTATAATTATCATATTAAAGAAAAAAAAAGAAAATCCTCCATGTCCTCGTCCGATGAAGCTGAAACTGGATATGAATCTTCTCAAATGAAGAAAAAATGTGATAAGAAGTTCGAAAAAGACCCAACTTTTTATCCTAACTATCATTAAAAAGTAGCTAAATGTACCTAGACATATTTATTCAATTTTGGACTAATTTAGAATTCACCTTAACATTGCATAAAAAAAAACGTTCACAAGTATTTTGTATACTACTAGCTAACTCTGTATTCGTGTTCAATTATTCTTGTTAAAATATTAAACACAAATATTATGTAAAGCATTAAATTATTAAATATTTGTTCTTTTTTATAAGAAATACTTATACTGGCTATACTCCAACCAGGCGCGGACTGGTAAAAAAGGGCGCGGGATGCTACATAATTTAAAGGGCAAATAAAACAAATTTTAAATAATAGGTATTATTTATAAAATATTTAAACATTTTCTTTTGTTTTAATAAAATATCGTAAATACGTTAAGAATGTAAATAGGTGCCAAATTACAACAGCAAGGCAAGGTTAAGCAACGGCAAACTTAAGGGTCAGTAAATTGTGATTAATTTTTGCCCCCCCAACCCCCCGCACCATAACAATTAGAGCTAAGTTCCTCTTATAAAGATTGTGTTAATAATAAATTAAAAAAGTATATTTAATGTATATAAAAAGCTGCTCAAATTAATTTACCTGTCTTCTTATTGGCTACCTACTTTAAATGTATTTTTTTTTCTTTATGATTTTTATAGTTATTACTTATTAGTTATTACATAAATAATAGATCTACATCTACCTACGATTTTATCAGAGAATTTTAACCTTCTCCTTCAAAATTCAGATTAATTTTAGGTGGGCACATTTATACCGATAGGGGCAAATATATTTTAGGGCAAGGGATGCTGTAGCATCCCTGCATCCCAGCCAGTCCGCGCCTGACTCCAACAATAACGCAGAAAATTCATAAAATGTCCACATTTAATTTATTAAATCAATGTAGATAAAAAAAATGTTTGTTGGATCAAAAAAAAAAGTAGGTTCCTCGTATTATGTTGTTGATAGTGTAAATTTAAAAACAACAAATTTTTTTTAGGAGTGTCTACATCAGGAAAATTTGCCAACTATTTTGAATTAGAAATTTATAAAAATATTTATTTTAAAATTTAATACAAGATTCGTCATAAGCCGCAAAATTCATAAGTAGGGGCAGTAGGGCTCGGTTTTATAAATGCCCTACAAATATAAAAAACGACATTTCAAAAAATACATTATTTATTAAATAAATTCAAATTATTATAAAAAAATGAAATTACCTTACATTACACTGAACAAAAAAATTTTAATTAAATTACATTTGCGTTGCACTGAAAATTATTTATAATACATAGCAGATACTATACTACTATGTAGTATTTACTTATATTTCAATGAGGTCAATTTTTTTAGTCATAGTACAAGAAATAGGTCAAAAATGTCCTAAAAAATTAAAAATTCATTAAAAACGTCAAAAATGCCCGAAAAATATAAAGTCCGTTAAAAATGCATAAAATGCAAAAAAAAAAGCCCCAAAAAATGTTTGTGTTTAGAACGCGAAGTAGATAGGTACTTGAAACATATCTGTTGCTTGGAAAGCATCACGTAAGATGTACTAAAAAAAAGATGCAAATGCATCGAAATTCGAGTCCTACTCATAAGCTTGTCTACTTTTTGATAAAAAAAAATGTATCGAAAAATCAAATTACAATTTTTTTCTATAAATGTCAGTCACATTGCATTTGTTGGGTCAAAATGCTTGAAAATTGTATATACGATGCTCCTAACACACATTGTTTCTATAGTAGTATAAAAATATTAAAAATACATAATTTATATGAAAGACTTTTTTTATTTAGCATTAAAATTAAAATTTAAACAAAATGTATGAAATCGAAAATATACAAATAATTTTATAGTTGAAAATGTATGTTATATAGATACACTTCTCATAGATAATAATTAAAAATGTAAAAAAAAGTTCCACGTAAGTAGTTCATACTGTAACCAAAAGATGTGGTCACACATATCATAGTTATGGTCGTCCTCTGTCCTCATTTTTTCCCTGGCATTTGAAAACTATTGTGAAGTTTTCACTTTTAACTCCCCCAATATACCAGCTAGATTCATTTTTCTATCAGAAAATATGTTGAAAAAGAAAATTGAAAGATTTTTTCTGCCCTATAAGGTAGGTAATAGAGGAAAAAACACAAACCAATGTAAAATCAACACATTCATGGCTCCGCTCAAAATCTAAAGAAAGAACATGGGAGTGATCCAGCCCCCGTATCCCCCGAGTCAACGTTTATGTGTGGGTGTTACATAGGAAAAGGAACAAAAAATAATAGAAATATATGCTCGGGAGAAATGAACTTTTGAGTTACGCATTTGGGATGGTTAAAACTTTTTCCCACCTCTATTAAAAACTAAAATTAGAAGACTGAGTTCCCCCTTGTTTTTTTCTGTGTCAATCATCAGTATATATATTAGAGTTGGGATTTCAGTGATCCAAAAAATAAAATGCTTTAATCTTCTAAAATTTTTGAAAAATGCACTCATTTTTTTTTTTAATAGATAATTCCGATATAAATTTTAATACAAATTTGGTACAAATAAAAATAAACATTTTAAAGGATTACTTTAGTTTAGGATGCGAGGTAGTGTAGATCAGATTCGTGGGCACAGCCGGTGTGACCAAAAAGCGTCTCATGGGCGTGGTTTACTCGACACTAAGGATCCAATCTGACAATCCGATTTCGTCGTGTCTCTCCTAGCGACCTAACACAGAAAATATTCTGGAGCCGGCGAAAAACGTCACTTTCTGTTTACCACAGTCTAGCTTTATACCTCAGAGCAGAGGTTCCCAACCTTTTGACTCACGGCACCCTCAGTCATTTTCTAAAAATCCGGAGGCATCTTAGGCCCTATAGACTACTTCGATTTTATTTATTATTGCATAAGTATAAAAAAAATAATTTGTTTACAATTAAAAGAGTTGAGAATTATTTGAAATTGTCAACAAATAAAAGACGAATATTGAAATTATGAATATGACTAAAAAATTATTTTTTTGAAAGATCATCTAATTTGTAGTTAAATCGATGACCACGGTACTCAACATAATATTTATAGATACATTATTATTATTGCTCAAGCAAATCACGTTCTCTCGGCGAACGGAGTATTCAGTCTGTGCATTAAACATAGGTAATAAACCTATTTATGATTTAGGATGCAGAATAGATAAATAATTATACACTCCACAATGAACTGGTGATAGTTTAAATAGATAAAAAATGTTAAATCAAAAATTTTGATCTAGGCACACCCTGCACATCCCATGAGCACACCTAAGCATTTACCATAGGTGAAATTTTTCAAGAACAAAAAAAAAAAATACACACATAATATTGAACAAATTGTATTACAAAGTAAGTAAGAAAATTTTGTAATCAAATAACTGAGTTAAGATACTCAACATTTAAGTTAATAAACATAAATAAATATACATAATTAAAAACATGTTTAATAAATAGGTATTAGATCATAACGAGGAAACGTTTTATTAATAAGTGTATTCTGTCCTTATCATACTTTAAGTAGCAAATATACATAAAATAATACAGCATAACTATATTCAAAAAAATGATTTACTAAACAAAGAATTTTCTTTGACTTCTTGTTGCCATCAATTTCTTTTTCTAAAAAGTTCAAACTTCTGTCTCTTCTGTCTCTTCTGCCATTACTTTACAAATCATCCGTCTCACAGATTCTTGATGTTTACTTAAATGATTTAGAATTTCTTTGGAACTAGGAATAACATTTAAAATAAATTAAACAATACAATGGATTACAAAATATACAATTATATTCTTTGCTTTTTTTTTTTTGTGACTGCCGCAAAAAATAAAAAGCAGGTAAGTGGGAAACGCTCTATTGTACATTAGGTGTCTAGAGAGTCATTGCAACGGATGAATTAAATTTGAATTCACTGATTTAAAAATTGTATAAGAAAGATGATTCTGAGCGAAGAATGTCTGTCAAGAAAATCGAAACATTTTTAAGGTCCCAAAAAATGATGACTGACAAGAATAAAAAAACATATCATTGTAAAATCAATACATTCATTGCTTTGCTCAGAATCTAAAAAGAATTCATTACTCATCACTTCAATATCGAAAGCACCAAATTTTAGGTAATACATTGATGATTAAAGAAAATAATTAGAATTTGCATAAATAATTGAAAAAAAAATGTTATATTTATGAGGAAAACTTACCATTTTTTGTTTATATTAATTTTACTAGTTTGAGTATTCATAAATAATGTTACGGTTTTCTTTTCAGAATCGTCCTGAAATAAAATGAAACTTAATAATTAAGTAAAACTATGATTAATTAGGAAATTACTTCAGATACTTGTGAATGAAACTGTGCTTCTAGCACATGGTCGTCAACCATTTCAGCAAAAGATTCACTTATTTCTCGTGGATAGTTTAATTCATTATACTCGTACAAACCGCAATGCACTCCTTGAGCAGGATATATCCCAAATTGAGATGCCAAAAGTCTAACATTGGTTTTTGGTACTATTTCAATTGATCCATAATCAACATATAATAACTAAAATATAACAAAAAAGATGTCAATTTTATCTTCAAATAAATAAGTAAAAATATTATATGTGAAGCCGGGTGAATGAAGCACTAATCCCATACACACTACACAGTGTTACAATATGCACTAAAAATGAAACATTAAATTATAACAATAAACTATTAAGTATAACTTTAAAAAAAATGCATAAGCCATTACATGTCTGTGTAAAATTGAATTATAAAATCAATAAAACAAAATTAATATATTTAAAAAAAGTATAATGTTTATATATAAAATATCGATAAAAAGATGAATACAAATAGACTAGTAATGACACAATAATAACATCACTTGTTAGTGTACTTAATGATATCAACCGTCTAAGTGAAACTGATAAATAATTAAATTATTGGGTAACGGTCCAATATGTGACCTACAAATGATACTTGACCTACCAAAAAGATTGTGTTGATCTACATGTTTCTTTATCGTGATAGGGATTTTATTCTATTTTATTCTTGTTCTTCAATACTTACAATAATTAATACTTGTATTTACTGTCATGTTGAGAAATACCAGTAAATTTTTTTTCAAAAGAGAGAAAATGGGTGGTCATGGTTGAACTGTCCAAATTGACGAATACTTTTTTCAAGGTAAAAGGAAGTATAACCGTACTCGATTACAATGTGAGGGCCATTAGCCATTAAGAGAAGTAAATAATTCCAACAACGGAGATTCTGACAAAAATGAAATAGTACATACAAATAAGAATTACGGGAATCGTATGGTAGGCCCATGGGTATTTGGTATTTGTTAGAAACGGCCAGACTTATTATTAGATTGGCGGGTTTTATCGTAGAAAAACGGGACCGAGAAACTCTAACAAATTATTAAAAATGAAATAAAAACTGGAACGACAATTTATAATGGAGAGCATACTCAACATTAAATCATAAATATAATTTATATTATATATATATATATATGTATACATTTATCAAACAGTTAACCATTCAGAAATTTTTATTGATCTGGAAACAGGAACACACACTCAACAAATTGAAGGCTTAAGAATTCTAAAATCCAAATATAATATTACAAAGAATGGGGTGTCTCATTTATTAGATAGACAACTCCAAGAAGAGTGGTGGAGATCGTGTCAAAATCCAAAAACTGTTTTTGATGACTTTTTGACCGATATGAAAAAGACGTTTCATAACAATACGGACTGAAACAATGCAGTTCTTGACGACACTGAGAAGTGGAATAAAAAAAAAGCTTAGTTAAAATTATTCGTATTTTACATATATGACGAAACTCACGTGTTGGACCGTAAATCAGCCTGTAGGTCGCATATTTTATTTATTTTATTTTATATATATGTATGAACGACATATTGGACTATATCAGTGTGTAGGTCGTATATTGGACAGTTACCAATAATTGTAATACTGAATTTTATTCAAATATTTATTTTTCATTAAAAGTTCTACCAACATATAGAACTATAGTAATCATAAAACATATAGTACTCTACAGAACAAGACAAGTGTTAAAAAAATATTATGAATATTAAGGTTACAAATTACTAATTACAAGGTGATAGAATGCTATCCCTTCCCTTCACTGAATAAAATGAAAAGATACTGAATTTGATTCTTGAATGAAAAACAAACACATAAGTTGATAAAAAGGCACAGTAAATGATTTAAGATAAATAAAACTAAATGAGCCAAAATAAAAATGATCTAAATTATAAGAAGTTGAAATATTAAAGTATACTCAATTTGCATTTGAAATTTTTCCAAATACATTAACATTTAACTTTGAAATACTTCCAACACACATGACTTAATTATTAATGTTAAATGTTATACTTAATTAATTTGAATGTGTGTGTACTTGGATTGTATGAATACTGGTTTAAAGTTAACTAAATAAATGCCTTATATATAACTAATGAACAAAAACTAATATTAATTAACATTTGTAGATTCATATAAATTATATATGTTCAAAAATCTTAATTACTTGCACATTTTCATCATCAATTATTTTTAAGACAGTAGCCCTGTGCCATAGGCCAGAATCTTCAAAACATGAGGTACATGCTAATCCTTGAAGTATTAGTTTTGGTAGAACTTTGAATTTTTTTTCATTTTCGTTGTAATACACTCTAGAATAATTAATAATACACAAGTTACAAATTTTGTCAGTAAATAATGTAATAACAAATCAATGAAAGATAAAACCAACTGTAATGAGTCCATTAAACTATTCAGATTATTGACTTCTGCTGCTAATTGGATGTAAAATGAACTTGGGTTGAAAATTTCAGCAACAATGACATTTGTTAACTCTTTAATGTTAAATTTAACTTTAGAATACTTAAATCTACCGTTACAGACATCATTGCCAGAGTAATGTAATAAAAAATCAGTATCCTGTGAATAATAAAACAATTAAGTAAAATAATAAATCAATTTTTTATTCTGTAACAAAGGACATTAAATACATTTAAAATTAATTTGTCTAGAATATATTCCAATTTATATTTGGAATCATTATTTCCAAAACATCAGTTTTTTTCCGAAAATTAGATGATTTGTATTTTTAGGAAAAGATAACACAATATAATATTTTTATTAAAAGGTACAAATTATTTTAATGCATACTGGTAAAGCAATTGAATTGTTATCATAATTGTCAGTATGATCTAGATCTTGTACAGGTTTTGTATAGGCATAAGGATTTATTGTAAATAGCTCATTATTTTCTATTTCAACCATTTTGTCTAAACATTCAAACATGTGCTTTTCGGAAGAATATCCATACTTTAATGGTTCATAAGCTCGGCCATATTCTGCCTGAAAAATAAAATGCAACTTAAAAACTGGTTTAAAGAAAAAAAACTTCTTAATTCATTCTTTTACACAGTATAAAGTCAACAGTTCATTGAATTTTACTCCAGTTCGATACTTATCAAAGAACTTTGAAAGATTATACAACACAGTCTTCGGAATATTTTTATAATACAGCGATGGATCTGAAAATAATATAATGTATTATTTTTAATTAAAAAATAATGTGTACTCATATTATGTACTGTATAATTTAAAAGCAGCTTAAATGTACTTTACACACGGGAAGAGATCGTAATAAAATAATTCTAGTGGATGGGTTTGTTGGTTGGTAGATTAATTGGTAAGATACAAATAAATAATTATTTTATACTATTTTTGAGAGTGTACTTTGTATAATAAATATAATAACATAAGATGAGTTATGTAGAACAGTGATAGAAATAAAATAAGAATAGTCAAAAGCCAAATACCAATATAGATTCAATGGACATACAATTGAATTGCATTTTTTTCAAAAGTAATAAATGAAAAAAATAGATTTTAACAAAATGTAATCAGAAATTAACACGGCAATGAATGCTTGTAGGAATAAAGTTGATGTATCTCCCATCAGATCAGAAAATTCTCAATTATCAGAAAACCAAGAAATAGTAAATATTCTTATGGGTATTATATTGTATTTGTTAAAATGAGATATTCCCATGGTCATTAAATTTTTTTGACGAACACATCATCTAATAAAAGAAATATTTTAGGCTTTACTAAATTTGTATATAATAATCATTCAATATTATCTGATCATCTAGCATCTAAATGCCTCAATAATTCTTATGAAAAAAGAAGATTAACAATAATGTCAAAACATTTTCAAAATTCTATGTTAAAAACTTTAGCAGAAAGTGTTAGTGAGGGAATATTACAGGAAATTATGTTAGCTGGTATGTTTTCTGTTTAAATCATCACAGCAAGTTACAACAGATGTAATAAAAGATATTGTTCAAATGATGGTGATATTAATATCACTTAATAAGACTCCATTAATACAGAAATGTTTGATGTATTTTTTGAAGTTAAGTGAACCTAATGGACTAAAATGAAAAATTCAATTCATAGGAAAAATCAAGATTAAAGCAAGCAATATGAGTTTAAAGGACCCAACCTCAGTTTAAATCTTTTTTTAAATCTAACAGTAGTTGACACTTGCAAGTAGCAAGGTTAATGAAAATATTTATTTCAGAAAAATTTTAACTTAAGTCTCATTCCTTGGATTTATGAATACATTGATTAGCAGTAGGAATAGTGTGTACCTACTCAACATGTAAGGAGTCTAATACATTTCTATGACACCTGTTGGACTTAAAATGGCTGCTAAATTGAAACCATATAAAATATAACTATTGTTAGTGTACCACTAAATGTTTGATATAAAATAGATGTACATTAATATATAGAGTATGATGAATAAATACGTCGGAGTATTCCAACATTGATTATTAGTAACCAGTTTTCTTTTTTATTGAACTAAGAAATTTTGATTGTATGACACTAACACATTCACCGTTACTTACCATCTGAGTTATTTTCTAATTCACTTCGTCTATGAGCTTCAAATAAAATACATTCATTGTTATCTTCAGTTACTTTAACATAAAATACAGATGGTAACTTGTATGCCATATCCCGCATGCTGCTGAATCCATACTCAGAAAAATTGAAATGACTGTTATACGCGCTCTATAAAATAATTTGCCAAAAGATTAATCATTGAATGGTTAAATATATTAGTTATTTTAAAAACGAAACAATTATAATTAAATACACATTTAGGTATATAAATTAAGTCTTAGCTAACAATATAAGTTTATATGAAATATTTAGTTAGAACTATTTACTAGTATCAGAACTGCTAAATAAAGTTAGAAGTACTCCAATGATAAACTTAAAGACACTGATAAGTAAAATATGGAGAGAAGAAATAATACCAAAACCATTTGGCAAGTGTCAATGTTATGTCCAATACACAAAAAAGGAGATTTTATTTTAATTTAAATTATAAGAGCCCAAGTGCACAGAGTACATAATAATGTGTAGAAAAAATAAGTAACAAAATCATAGGTACAAAATGTCAATTAATATTATGTTATTTAACAGTTAAAGGTTATGAGAATTTTTTTTTGTTATTGAGAGCACAAAAATACATTGAGATAAATAATTAATTACACGGATACAAATAAAGTACGAGTAAAAAAATAAGTATTGTAAAATTGTATTATTGGTTACTCATAATTAATGTTTTTAGATAAGTTTTCAACAAAAAAAAAAACATTGATTTTTTTAGAGTGTTTAGGTCTTTTTTGTATTATTGTGTATTTTTTAGGTCATTAAAATCCTAGCTCTATTTACAACAAATGAAAATCACAAAATTGTCTTCTGCTTCTTATTGTTAATTACATGCCATATGAGTAAATAGAAAGAAAAAATTACCTAAGCGAATACTTACACCATAAACATTCATAAAATCGTTACATAATATGCCATCTTTGTATTTACTTAAAATCTGACGCATTTTTACTTTCATTGTATCCAATATCGTGTCAGCATCGTATATTTCATATGAATTTATTGAGTTTTCACAACTAAAAAGTAAAAAAAAAAAAATCAGAATAGAACAATTTCATTGAAACCATATTTTAGAAGATAGATTGGATTCTAGTGTCATCATTTTGAGAGAAATATACAACAATAAAGATATATTATTTCAAGGTTATAGCCATATAATTCATGAACAATGTACCTACTAAGAAAGTAAATATAATATTTGTGAATTTATTTATAGTGAGTTACTGTAGACTTTTGATAAGAATTAAAAAATAATATGTACAATTATAGTTGTACTATAAAAAACAAACCTTAAATAAAGTTAATTAACATAACTCAAAAGTCATAATATACTAAATATACTTTTAATACCAAATTTAATTTGCTTTTCAAAGACATTTGAAAAAGTTTTTAAAATTTTGAAAAATAAATTGGGGATTTTCACTCTTTTAAGTATTAGGACCATAGATTTTAGAAAAAATTGTGACCTTGTGCATAATAAAAACAAAACTGCAGGTTGTAGACCCCTGTATTACATTAAAGTCTTACGAGTTTAAAATACTACAAATTCCATAAAAAATTACAATATAATAAATACTATTAGAATATTCAGTTAGCTTTCAATACATTTGAATATTTTATCATAAAAAATTTGAAAATAATGTATCCATCTTAAGAAATTGTAAACAATGTTATACTTACTGTGGTTGGCATGAATTATCTATTGCAGTATCTTTAATTTTCTGATCGTCATCTGATAAAAGTTCAGATATAATCTTACTTTGATCCAAAATATAATTTTCTGAATTGACAACAGCAACATTGTTAAATATGGCTTAAAATGTAAATAATAAATAAACGTTAAATATTTAACATAACTTTTTTAGTAGGTTTGATTAATTAAATGAACAGTAATAAAAAATAAGTTTCCTATAATAGATATTCTGTACTTAATTGGTTGTAACAAACTTAATAAGGAAAAAAACTGATACTAGTTAAACAACACATTGTTAATTGTAATTTATTAATATTAAGTTAACCCATTTGTACAAAACTCACACATAAGTATTGAAATACATCTAAAACAACTTTTTAACTATGTTCTAAAAAATACCAATAATTCTATTGATTTATTATTATATTTTGTACTATAGAAATCATTGAAAATATAATGTAATGCAATTTAAGCCCATCACACAATCAACATTTTAGTTATCACAATAAACAGGAAATAAGTAGGTACATAATTTAACTACAAAATTATTATTTTTTATGACTTACATGCTTTACTTAAGTATTTTCTAACAGTTTCTTTTCGTTTACATATTATTTGTTTTTGTAGACTTACAACACTGTTTGTAGAGCATTGATTTTCCAACTAAAAAAAAGGAAATTTTATTTAATAGTATTAAATAATATTCTGAAATTGATAAATTAATTACTTTAAACATATCTGGGTACAGGCGAAAAAAGTCCATGTACGTTACACATGAAAATTCTTGGAATGGAAAGTTGTAACCATGTTTTTTTTTAAATTTGTTCAATACATTATTTACAGTAATTGGTTGATCAGATTCGGCTATAATAGCAACAATGGCTTTTTTATATTCATCCTTTTGAGTTTTGGAAGAATCTGGAGTGTCTAATTAATAAAAAGTTGAAAATTATATTAATTTCAGTTGGATATACAATAATAATCCTACTGCGTATTATTAAAAAATCTGTTTTTATAGAATAATTTTCATATGGTATTGAACAAAATGGTAAAATATAAATTATCACTGATCATGTTGGATCCATCATGAACATATTTAATGAGTTTAAGATATACAAATACAAGTATATCTTTAGAAAACTGTAAATAATAAAATAATAAAAGTAACAATTGCTGGGTACTTACTTTTTATATCACAATTTTCTTTATGTTCTATTTTTGATACAATCTAAAAAATTGATATAGAGCACATAACTATTAACAAATGTTTTCTTTAAAGTTTATAAATTACATTTATTTAAAGACATTGATTTACTTCTTAAAATAAAATGATTTCTTATTATAAATCAGATTTAAATATAATCTAAAACTCAATTATACATCAAGAATTAGAATATATAGTTATAATATAACTAATAGACTATAATTATAAAAATCACATTTTAGACTATATTTTCCCAGAATTTGTTAAAATAATTCAAACCAGAATAAATAAATACCAATTGTTGTAACAATAAATCACTTGCAAATAAATAGCATTGATTCAAACATTCAGCGATAGTAAAATATGGTTATTTACCATTATCTGTGTTAATATAGCTGTGGCTTGGTGGTTTTTATTTTCAAAAATTTAGTATAAAATGTAACTAAAACTACCTACATTATAACAGAATTTTATTGTTATAATAATACCTAACTGATACATCAGCAATATAATAATAATTGAAATAATTCATGCTTAAAAAAATAAATACAAGATGAATTTAGGCAAAACCCCATGACAATTATGTCTAGTGATAAACCAAATCTAAAACATTGGATTACCCAACAATTACCTGACAACGTTTTTTTTAATTATTATTATTAAGACAATTTACAATCTGTAATTAATTATATCATAAGTAAAAGAGATGGATGTACATAAACATAAACATAGTATAAAATAAGATACAAGAAATACATGATGCCAGAAGTCATCCAACGAAGTCAAACGGGAAAACAGAAGTAAACGATAAGAGAAAACCAGGAGAAACAAAATTACACCAATTCACACGGGCATTTTCTTTTATTGAAGCGATCCTAAAAACTAAATTGTAACTGCTGAAATTAGGTAGGTAACATGCAAAAGCAACTATGCACTAATATCCTCTCTCGATCATTTTATACCTTCTGCAAAGAAGTTTAACTTAAATAATTGTATTATGATTTCACAATTTAATTAATTAGATATACTTATTAATCATACATTAATGAACCCGCTAAATTACTTAACTAACTTTACCGCTAATTAAACTTTATTATTAACTACATATTAAGCAAATTAACTACAAATACAATTAACAAGCAATAATTAAATAATAATAATAATCTTACTTTATTATGAATAGGTTTAGTTGATGATATGAATGTATTTTTATCAATATTTTGAGCTGAAACTGTATCACTACTTTTCGACTTTGAACCATTCAAATCTACACATAAATAACAAATATAAGCCTTAAAAATATAATTTTAATTGTGCACAATTCAATTTATTATTAAGAACTCTTAAATCAAAACAAAATTTTATATATTTTTCGATATTTTTTCCCCATTGAGAACCAACAGCATGACATTTAATGATTATCTTCATATTTAAAAATGTGGTTAATTTCATTAGATTAATAGTTGTACTTTATTTTAAAAGTTGTTATATCTTGTAATTAAATTTCTATTATAAGTATTTAAATCTTCATCAAATGTTTATACTAACATTTTCTGTAAATAAATTCTATTAGTTAGTTTTATATTTTAAAATTTAATATTTAACATAAAAGATATTTTAAAATTTAACATTTAACAACAACAAATTACGAAATAAACAACTATAACAATATAATCAGTTTTGTAAATTAAGATGGGAGTTGTGAACTATATTGTACACATAATAATCCTTATTATCTATGTTTGTAAGTGATAATAATTAATATTAAATATAATTTATTGCTCAAGTTTAAAAAACCCAGACTCTAGGGAGGTCTAAGAAAATAAAATCACAAAACTAAGTCAAAACACTTTTAGTACTTATAAAAATGAAAAAATAAAAAAAAAAAGTATAAATAATAAGTATAAAATATATTGCATACATATTTGTTTTCACTACTACTCTAAATCTAAAAAGTGATGAAAGTCTAAAATAAAAAATGAATACGATCACTCATTGTTTTCATTCCCTCTCACTTTATAGTAAAAAACAAATCATAAAATTTTGATAAGTCTGTGCATTTTTACAGAAGTAAATACAGAGTACTATGTTCTAAACCTGAATTTTTACTAACTATTACTCAAACATTAATATTATACTCAATATTAATAAAAAATAATGATTAAAAACTAAATAAATTAAGTTTTAATATACTGAATATCATGATATGACCTGTTTTGAACATATTGACCATGTTTTGAGGATCTAACCGATTTTGTCCATTTGGTTGTGAGGATGAATTATAGGTGCGCAACTTCTGCCAACTATCAGAATGTTGAGGAGAATTACTACTACTCGACAAGATTGTGTTATCATGATGTGCAGTCCTGGTTGATGTCTGGCTTACTTTTTGTTCATTTTCTATTATAACACATTGCATAGTTTAAATTATATTATACTAGACAATGCTAATTCTATATGTGTTGTCATATTTTCTCCTACGCTGAAGGACGCGCATGCATTCACATTGAATGTGCGTGAAGTTGCCCCCCGACTTAGTCTGATCGTTTTGAAATCTATGCCAATATTTTGCAAAATTAATTGCACATATTGTATTATTGTATATTATACATTATCATCCAATGCATGTTGAATACAAGACTTTTATACAGAAACACCTAACATGCGAAAATTTAATACAAAATATTAACAATGAAAAGGTATAATTAATTGGGAAATTATTATTATTTTCTAAGTACCTACCTATAAGATAGGTATATATAAAAAAAAATAATAATTCTCAACTAAGTAACAACAAAACTACACGCGAGTAGTACCATAAAAAGTATGAAGATCATTCAAAGGCCTAATAAGTAATGAATATCGCCAAATAATATCTAATAGTAAAAAATATCTTATTGTTGATAGGAAATAAAAGAGTGTGGCATAAATAAATATTTTTTAAATATACAACTAAAAGGTAAACTATATAAATGATCTACATACCAATGCATAACAAGTAGTTGCGCAATTACAAAAAATATATATATTTAAAACAATTTTTCATAAGTATTCTATAACGCCGGAGTCATTCGGTAGCAAAAAACTTGTAAAATTTACGAAACGATTAGACCAAGTCAGGGGGCTGGCTAAAAAACTTGTAAAATTCGCCAAAAATAAAATATCAGTTTCCAGATTCTAAAAACTAATTTGCAATTATTTGCAATTAATTTGCAAAATATTGGCATATATTTTGAAACGATCAGACAAAGTCGAGGGGCCAACTTCACACACATTCACATTGAAGTATATTAAGATGACATTAATGAAACCAGTTTCTCAGTGATCAAGTGTAGTTGTAATTTAAAATTCTATACTTGTCTTCATTAGCTTAAACACAGCCATAAGTCATAGGGCTTACACATGGCAAGGTTCAAAAGCAATTAATTAGCAACATTGATTTAAATTTGCAATGCACTATATGGATTTACATTTTACAGTGGCTAAGCTATATAGTAATGATATTATTATATGCTTTATTTTTTGATTAAAATTTTAAGATATAAAACACCACATACACTGTTATAGCTTATAATAATTAATCAAAATATATGCTATTTTATTGAAATTGTGAAAAATGTATATCTAATATAACAAGTTTCGTATTATTTTGATAGTTTCTGCATTGAAACAAAAAGTTTAACTGCACACAAAGAAGATTCAAACTAGTAGCCATAAATGTATTAAATATTAATATGCATAATAAATATACAAAGTAAACCTACCATGTACTTTAAGGTTTTCTAAACTTGAATAATCCATCTCATAATCATAGTCATCATTATTGATCTCACTATACAACAATTCTTCATTATCATCAACAATACTACTTAGGTAACTTGCAGATGTCGGTATTGTGTACTTCCTTTTATCAGATGTCTTAGACCGAAATATTTCTAATGGAGAATCTTAAATTTAAATATAAAATAAATAGTAAGTACATTTAAAATATAAAATAAATATATTATTATTTATATTATTACCTTTAAGGTGTACACCTCCTTTATCAATGTAGATAAAAAATTTTAACATATTTATAGATTCTTCGATATTAGTTGTACCCAATTTATTATAATCTGGATGATTTATTAAACAATTCTTTAATTTATTAATAGTTATCATCTAAAAACCAATTAGAAAATATGTAATTATAAAAAAATAATGGTCAATGTTGTAACGATAAAACTTACTTCTGAACCGGAGGTATTACACAGATTTTCGATAAAACTTCTGAGATTTGGTGTAACAATACCAATAGGTTTTGTATAAGATTTGGTTTTAACATGATCATATCCACGAGCACTGTTACCATTCCTATTACTATATTCATATCCACGAGCACTGTAATCATAGCTAGGGGAGCAATTTTTGTATCTAGACGTGCTATAATCTGGTCTATGATTATTGTGATTGTAATCATGAGATTTAAAATTGGAAGACTTCAACAAGTGATTATTACCACTTCTTCCAGAGGAATAATTTCTTCTAGGACGCTGTTTTTTAGATTTTTGATTTACAACAAGTTCTCTAAGGTGTGAAGTTTTTTCATCAACAATTAGTGTAATCAGAGAATTCATATTTGGGTTTGACGGAACCTAAAATAAAAAAAATGTTAATTATAAATAGTACATAAATAATTTTATTCAATATTCAATCAAATATTCTATTAAACTGTATAATAAGTAGGTTAACCACTATAACCATCTATAAGTACTGTATTAATAATTTGGTGCCCCTAGCACCTGAAATTGTTATCCCTTTCCCACTCTCACAAGACAATTAGAAGTCATTGACTTGAGGGAAATTCTGTAGGCCATGTTTTAAGGAGAAACATCTAGATACATTCTGATGAATATTACCACTCAAAACCGTGATGACAGACACGCAAAAATAAAAATAATAAATATAAGAACACACATCATTGTAAAATCAATATATTCATTCCTTCGCTCAGAATCTGAAGTACAATGTTAACTGAAAAATAATTGTACTAGTAAAAACAGTAGCCTTAAAAAAATGAAAAAATAAAATAATAATATTTTTTTCTAGACAATTTAAGTGAGTAAAGATACCATCCTCAACAATAACTCTTAAAAGCAGGTCACTGCAATAGGCCATGATGATCATATAAAAATTGTGTAATAAAAAAATTTTAATTTATTTAATTCATCGACCGTAGAAAAATATTAGAAAACCCCAATTACACTTGTTAAAAGAAACATTCAACTTACCTTTAAAACATCATTCATATTTTCCAGCAACTCAAAAACAGTATTGAACCCCAAGTGCTTATATGGTAAATTACAACCTTCATAATTTGAGTATTCATTTAATATTTGTGAAATTGTCACTCTACCTGGAGAGCTAGTTAAAAGACTCCGTATAACCATCTTTAAATACTTTAAATCTGGTTGTTCCATGGTAAATAAATGAAATACCTGTAAAAAAAAATATATATATTTATAAATATATTATGTTTCTAATTTTGGTATTAAAAGTAGACAATATTTTAAGTTATATTTAAATTTCAAATATTTATTACATTAACATAGTTATTTAAGAGACAATTAATAATAATCACATTTTTAAATATTTATTTTAGTATCACCATTTTTGAAAAAAAAATGGTTATCTTTAGTTCTTGTCTCATATTATTAAATTATTTTAGGTTGAATTAGTAAACAAAGTACAAAAACAGTGAAATCGTGAAAATATTTTGAAGAGTATTGAGTTTTTCAATATAGATCGATGAACGACATTTTCAACAATTGTACATATATATTTTTTATTGTTTGTTTCAGTGCATTAAGTACTATCCAATAACATTACTTTTAGTTAATTCGATATTTAGCAATGAATATAATTAAGTTTGCTTTTTTTCAAGAGGATACCATCAAATGAACTTATAATGATTAACTGATTATTATTTGTGTAGAAATAAGATAATAATCACAAAAATTTGAAATTATATAGTCTGAATAGACAACTATACTTATAACACATACTTATCACTGTTTTCTATCAATCGAGTATTCTAGTGGTTCTCAACCTTTTTTGGTTCACGGCATACTATGATACATCACAAGTTTTCACGGTACACTCACGCACTTGACAACCACAACATATTTGGCAACTTCGGCGAAGACATTAGGTTATCGCCATGCACCTAAATATGTATGACATTTCTCACGGCACATCTAGTCGATCTCGCGGCATAGTAGTGTGCCGTGGCACACCGGTTGAGAACCACTGGAGTATTCTAATAATATTTACTTGGCCATATTATCTCTTAATTACTTATTTAACAGCTATTTCATTATGGATTGAGAAGACAATAAAAGCGCAAAAGAAGTAATTGAAACATATGACTCAAAAACCCACATTTAATACTAAAAAAATATTTGGTTGGGAACATATCTTATCAATGCCAGTAGAGTATAAGTTTAATAATTTTATTCAAAATATTTCAATGATAGTTTGTTATTTAAATAATTAAGCGGTATTATTTCAATTTTTAGGAGTAACAGCTATCAAATTTAGATAACAATCACCATCAGCTAGCTTCAATAATATTTATTTGTGATTTAATAAAAGTTATTATAAAATAGCTTTTTTATCAATTATAAATTTCCACCATTTTTTTAGTTTGAGATTATAAAAAATTAAGAACATACATTAATTATGTTGTATCAATAATGTAATGAAAGTGAACATTAGCCATTTCGATAAAAATTTTAGAAATAATTTCTCAATTACTTAAAATAAAGCTTTATTATTAATAATTTTTTTCCATAGGTATTTAATAATACTGATTATTCTTTTAAGACAATTTTCAAACAATATTTTTTATTAAAACAAATAATTGTTAGGTATGAATTTATTCACACTAGTATAAAATAAGTATATTGAATAATTAAATCAATAAAATATAATGTTAAAACATAATAAATGTGTGACAATGGTCAATCAATTATGATCTTAGGGATATTTAATATAATCTTCAAGAAATCGTTTTGTTTAACTGTAATTAATAATAGCTGTGCAGCAGTAAAAGATATTAAAAAAAAAAAATTAGGGTAAGTTAATATTTTTTTGTAATTTATTTATAAAAATGTAACATATTTTTCTTACACATTTCATGATGTTGGATAAAATCTACAATGATAACCCTACACTTCTAAAAACGTATGTCCAACTCGTTGGTCATCAAAACATTCGGTATGCAAATAAAGGTTGATTAATTACTTAATATTATCAGTACTATTTTGGAGTTCTTGAAGTTTTTATCTACTAATTTTAATTTAAGGAATGTTATTAACACTTACCAAAATATATTACATATAAAATAAAATAATTTGAATCTGTCGTCTTCTCATTGTTACTACGGAATTGTCTACTAACAAAACAAAATAAATGTGGCATCATTTACAGATTTATAATAAATATAAGGACTTCAATGATAGTTAGCTTGGCACTGGTTGTAGCATAAAACAAATTCTGATGTCATGTTCATTAAAACGTACTAACCTAGATGTTCTCAACATTGTAATTAAAAGTAACTTTTTAATTAAACTTTAAGATTTAAGAGAGAAATGTCTAACATAAATTTGTATGCAATTGATTTTCAAATAGTGGACTGAACGATAAACAAGTAATTATAAAATAATAAGATCTTTTTATTGATTGTACAAATCTTAAATCTAAAAAATGTAAAACTAATTAATAAACCAATACACTACCTATAAGGTTGTATCTATTTGAAAATTTCAACTCAATATCTCAAAAAATTACTCAAAGCATTAAGCATGAGATCGGTGCATCCATTTTGTCTCTATTGTAATAATTATTATAATTCAGTACAAAATAACAAAAACGCTAATTTCGGTCAAAAACGGAAACGAGCGTCGTATTCGTCAAAATACTCATGCAGTCACAAGCTCATAATCACTTACGTAAGCAGCGAAATGGTAAAGGGTCTTCACAGGGATAACAGACGAGTGTTGAAATGTACCAAATTCACGGCCATGGCCCGTTCAAAATCGGTTTGGCAGGTATTTTACGAATTTTCGTGCGACCGTAGGTAGCAAGTGGAAGGCACTTGCGACCTGCCGATAAAATGATGATAATGTGCACAAAAACCGAAAACGCCGAAACGAATTGTACGTGCCATGTGGAAATTATACGCACTGACCGGCGGAATGCGATGCTGCCCTATCACTACCAGATATGCAACAACAATCGCTGTTATCAGAAAATTTCTTCCCGCGATTCATGCGCTCGTGCACACGGTTTAAAATATTGTACAGGTTAGAGAACGAGCCAGACAGCTGATGATAGTGTCAATTTCTTTGGAAGAAACGCGTACAGCCACAGTTTCGTTTTCGTTCAGTGCTTGCAGTTAGGACTCAGTAGTGTCAAAATGTTTTCGAATTCGTAAGTCTGACGTCCGTATCTCTTTTCTGACGTCCGGAATGTATAACTACCTGTCCAATAAAAAATGGCGTATTGGCGAAATATGAAAAAAGTTTTTTTCTTATGATTGCGCTGTGCTCACTTGATCAGTATTTAGTATCACTGTTTGTTAAACGGTCAGTTTTAGTAATTACGTGATGGCGCGTTCTCATAATTATATAATTTGTAACAATGGCTGTTAAAATATATTTGCAATGTGCAGAACAAGGAAATGGTTTGACAAACTACAAGTGTCTTCAACCACTAAATCAAACACATTTTTCTCACCACAATGAGCTGAAAAAGAATCTTCAATTTAAAAAAAATATGAAGATTTGTACCAGCCCTCCTTTCGATTTTATGTTTATCAATTCAGCCTCTGAAATGTCGACAATTGTTTGTGTTGAATTTGATACATCTAAACAAACAGTACAAGTTGCGCCTTTGGAGATTTTTCTTGTTATGTAACCACATGCATAATAAATAATACAGTTAAAAGTTGGTCGCTGTTGCATTATTATAACTATGATCTTCCCATTCTTTTTCTTGGATAAGTTTATCAATTTTAAATTTAAATTTTGTAATTATTAATTAATCATTTATTAATAATTAATATTTGAATAATGACCACACCGACTATTATTATGCATTTATGCAATATATATTATACCATAACTTTATTGTCTACTGTACCAGACTACTATGTGTCTAATGTCTATGTCCGAATAATATCGAGAGTAGATCTGTATATATATATTTATATATAAATATAATAATATATGTGACCAGTTATTGACGTTATATTAGTTTAGGAAACCATATATTGTCTATAATATAAAATTATTTATATATTATAATATATCGTGACTAAAAGCTTGAAATAGTAATAAAAGATGAGAAATACATTTTTCATGTACCATAATTAAATATGACTTGATATTTTCTCGATTTCACGAAAAAAAAGCCAAAAAACGTATGTATGAAATACATTGAATCATGGATATGTTTTTGAAATTTAATTGTAAAAAAAAAGTGTTAAAAATATCTATGCAATAAGCATAGGTAAAGATGTAAAATAAAGAATAATTTAATACAAATCGTTTAAAATGTTGTCATAAGTTAAATCAGTTATGTATTAATTATTCATTCATAAAACATGACGTGTTGTACATGATTTACATGGAGATATTATATTTAGTAAACTTGCTTTATCCATCGTATCTTTAGATGAATAAAAGGGCCAAGAGAACACTTAGAACCGTTCTAATTAGTTATTATTTAAAACCGCTGCACAACATTTATAAAATAAAAAAATATTTCCATCCATACCAAGTTGACATCCGGTAGAAAGTAAATGAAGTGTATCTTGTAGCAAAAACATAATCAAATAATATTCATGTTAAATGATCTAAAATACAGTCACAAATCATTATCATTTTTTATAAGTGTTATAAAAGTTGAAATTTGTACGAAATTCATGAAATCACAAAATATTTTTTTTTTTAGTCTGGGGGGGGGGGAGTAAGGTCCAGACAGTAAGTTTGGACAATTATTCACGAGATTATTGAGAAAACATGTTGAAGAATGCCACAAGATTGTTCTAAATAAAAAAGAACATAAGTATTTATTTCAAAACAACCAATGATAGGTATTAGGGATAGCATTTTCCCATTCATAAAACTAATCTCTGTTTTGGAATTTTTTTTTTTATTGTTTATTTACCTATTTTTTAATAGTTACTGGCATTTATTTAATAACTTATAAATATTAATTATGATTTATAAAATTAATATAAAATAATTTACCGTCACTTGTTGACGAAGTAATAATAATCTAGTATATCTAGTATCTATTTATATTATAGTAGGTATTTGTTGGTAATGTAGTATATTATATTGATTTACTGGGAATTAGATATTTTAATGGGCTTCGCTATGGCTTTTATTTGAGGGGCAATTGTTAGGCAATTTCTAATCTCGTCATGGCCTCCTGGGATCTATGACGAGTCGTTAACTCGTGAATGATTATATTAAGTGGCTTACGCGCACCAGGCGATTAATCGCGGGCATAAATATATCTTCAGAAACGTGGAGATTAATCTCGCAAAATAAAATGCGTATAAATGCTGTCATTAATCGCCTAGTGCGTGATAGCCACTTAGGGGTGAGTGGAGTTCATATGGGTACCGACGCACTACTAGTTACTACCGAGTACCGTTGAATGCCACGCTCGTGCTTACATGCATACGTCAATACCTAACTCCATAACAATATACAATTCAATATACGAATTTAGGGCAACTTACTTATTGTTTTGACAAAATATTGTGTGTTAGTTAACGTTGTTTTATTTGAATTCTGATAAAAATATGAATTCAACAACAATATGTCAAAAGATATAGTAAGTAAGAGTAAAGATTTTTGATTTTTAGTTACAATTATTATGGTTTGATAATATTTATAATTTCAAGTTTTTGATTACAGCTCAAAATTGAATAATGTTTTAATTTTTTTTCAAAGTGTTCCGAAGTCTGAATGATTCTTAGACATGTTTCTGATAAATTCAAATATTGTTTAGAATTCAAATCAGACAACGTAAACTAACTTTAACTTTTCAAAACTTTGGATCTTTTGAACTAAAATTTACGGTAGTAGCGGAGCTCTTTAAATATGAAATCAAAATAAGTAAGAACAAAGAAGTACCTATACATAATACATACACAGTTATAAGTTTATAACTGCTTGTATGTCAGGCCGATAAATCGTATGTGCTGAGACCCAACATTTTAATTACCATAAAACGATGCTTGACATTTTAAATCTTATTTTTTTGGGGGGGGGCCCTAAGTCTCTCACCAATTTTTGTCTAGTGTACATCCTTTGCCCGAATACAAATCTTTGTAAATGTTTGTGTATTATAAATTATTATAGGTACCTATATGAAATGTAAGTGTATTTGGCGAATAAACAATACGGAACCGGGTAGTAATATTGTGCTAAACAGTTCCCACCCGTTTTAGGGTTTTTAAAAAGGTACCTACTTGAATTTTAGAGTCCTCGTCTATCCATCTGACAAATAAGAATTCATACTTGAAAATACATAACTGATAGGTTTATGATATATTATGTAATATTATGTTCCATCTTACAATAATCACACTCGTCACTCACCAATTACATAAATGTAAACACACCTTATATATTACACGCCCATGATCATGTGCCTATATGTATTCCAACTCTTAAATATTCATTATCATTGTGATTTGTGACAATAATTTCCCAGTTAGGTATCACTAATAGGTATAGATATTTATAGTACTACAGTAGTATAGTGACATAGTGTATACAATTTAAGATTTCCTAAAAATTATAAAAATAACCATGACTTATTATACCAACAACCGATTAATCGGGCTGCTCATAATATCAGTCATTAATTACTATGATGATTTACTATAATATGATATGAGCCTTTGAAAAAAAATAGTTGACCAGGTAGGTAAGAAAAAGATTTTTTGTACTCATATTGCATTTAAATCCATTCATATTATTAGTTAATGTCAAAAAACTGCAGGTAATAAATAATAGTAGTGTCTGTATAGTGTATAGAAATTGTGTACACTATTTCTATAATTGACTTAATTTTCTCATAAATAATAAAATTCTCTTAATGTTACATGCAAAAAGTACTTCTCACTGTATAGGTGTGTGTACCACCAATAGTTGTTTTAAGTTAACAGCTTTGGTGAGAGCTGTAGCCTCCAGAATTTTAACCCTAATTCTAGAATTTGATGTAGTATCGTACATTTTAATGAAATTAAAGAAAATATATTTCATTCTTAAAAATAAATTTGTAATACCTATACTTTTACCCAAATATATTTATATATGTTATATCATTTTAAAAATTACAACAATATAATGGGTTACCCCCCCCCCCCAAACATGCCTCTCGTACTACTTCTACAATGATATAGAAAAACGATTTCTTGGAAGGGGAAAAAAAGGCTACTTCAGTAGTAAATAAAAAACCAAATTTCCGAGACAAAAAAATAAAACTTGTAATACCTATATCGGTATATGCATAATATAGTTTTTATTTTTTCACTATCGTGTTTGCAAGGAAAGTGAATTCGGGGCTGTGGCTCGGTGAACAAGTATTTGAGCGTACCTATCGACTTAGGCTATGTATTTTCTATACTCTAATTATAATATCAGTGTCTATTTTGATTTATTTATTCTGTGTTATAATAATTCAGTGAACCCGTATTATTTTATAGTTCTTAAATGTTATCATAGTTCAGAAGCAAATAAAGTTTTTCCATGATTGTGTTATAATTAAATATAGTTTAGGTTTATACAATACATATGTCGCGTCCGCATAGGGAAATCGCTCCTTTTATGAACTGGATATCAAGTTAGAGAAGTTTGAAGAAAATACTTTACGGTAGATAGACATCCATTTCACGAAACGCACAATACCTAGATATAATATTACAGCGTTTATGCTTTGTGCAATTGTAATAATACAAATTATTTATAAAAAATGTATTGCTCTTTGCTCTTTCCAATATTTCATTGAATTAAATTTAACAGGGTACTTTAGGTTGATGAACTTGAAATAACTTAGTACAATGCAGTATTGCAGTTAATACTTTAGTAGTAACATACAATTATCGTTTAATACAGCAACAACAACTTTACAAGGGCGTGTTATCGTTTTTGGCTCTATTCGCCAGCGGTTGATTTTTGGACCATACCATTTA